ATATATATATATATATATATATATAACGTATAATGTTATCTTATTCTAATGTTTACATTTAAGTTTTAAAAGAAAAAAACTAATCGACATATATGAAAAATAAGAATTAATATTTATATAAAACTACGTTATGCAGCCAAGTATAGCAAAGGGCTTTGTAATTAAAGCAGATGATATCTGCATTATACTTGCTTAAATTTACATCGACTCTATAATAGGAATGAACTTTCTTAAGTGTATTTTTTCCTTCCCAGAAACTTTTTATTTATTTTTTGTGCATTAATTTAATTTTTTTTATAAATTGTTTTCGATTTTGAAGAAATATTTTTGATAGTATTTGTGTTTTCCCAGATCGTTGAATGTTATTAGGAGAAGATGCTTGCTCTAATTAATTATGTTAAAGAATACATACCCTTAGTCCGGCTCCAGTATTATCACCGAGAATGTATTCATTTTGCTCGATAGAAAGTCGCATAGATAGTCCAAAATTACTACCAGGCTGTTTAACTCTGCGTACTTCGCTAAGGTTTTGTGGGTTGTTGAATGTGTAGCACACGCCCCATTCTGTAAGTACGCGCGTAAAATCATTCACTGTACAGGTCTCAATATGTTTCCATTTGCATTCGAACAGCATATCTTCAATTTGGTGAGTCATGTTGAAGATATCTATTTTCTCGTCGATTTCATCTTCTTTAGCTTTAAGATATTCCAGCGTCGTCTCATTTGGATAGTTGGTATTTGAAGAAGACAACAAGTAGATAATATATGTAAGCTCAGGATCTACCATCGATGCTCTCCATTGATTATAATTACAGATCGTGACAGCAGGAAAGTCCATATCATCGACATAGTTCATTGATACTATAGTATTAATCGGACGGTTCAAATATCGCAATACGTTATTAATTATTCCAACGTAGATAAAAGTTACCATCATGCCTGTAACGATCACCGCCCATGCAAGCCTATTAAAGGAATGCGGTTTAAAATGTGGTTTAAAAGGCTTACCGATGTAACAAAACAATTACTGTTTAATAACATTATTCACACATATATTAATGTGTTTATAATGTAATTAACAGACAGCAAAAAGAATGTAATACCAATATTCGAAATTGAACATGTAATAAAATAGAAATAAAGTTAAAATATTACAAAATAATAGCATATAAATTATAAATTACATTGGTCTATGATTATGTAGTCCTTAATAAAAAAAAAAATGAAGATGTGCTCCGGCATTACTTTTAGCATCTCCTGTTAAAAATAGTTAGTAGTTAATGCGGTATTTCCTTCTGTTAAAATTATTAATTTATATAACGTAATTAAAATGTTGTTATTCTGAATCCCATGATTATTTCAGAAGCATTATTTTTCTTATGGTCAAGGATTAATTATATAATTATACACAGTAAAATAAACTGGAAATAAAGAAATATGTATAAAGAATTACAGTATAAAGTAGTTAATAGCTAAAAAAAAAAAAGAAATTATGTAGCGTACGGTAGTTCAACTTCTGTGATTCTAAATCACATGATTTCAAAAGCATTGGTTTTTGTGTCTCTGTCCCCTCGGGGGCAAAGACACTATGCTGTCGTCTGGCAGTTAAAACTGGCTGAAAACGTATGTGACGAAAATAATATTTTGGCGGGTTATTGGCCGAGCGGTTAAGCAGGGGCAACGTAACCCTCAGCTGTATATCGGTGCTAGTTCGAAGGTTCACTCGACAATGGTTCCGGTGATGGAACAAGTCTTTTCGTATAAGGACTTTAAACCGTATGCCCAGTGTGGCTCGTGTGCACTCTAAAGAACCCAGTACATCCTTCGATAAGAGTAGGGTGTTACCCCAGTGTACTGGTCCATTAAGTCCCCTGTTGATAAATGGATATGCCACGTAGGACAGTGCTTAAGTTCACTTATTGGCATATCATTGGCGCTCGTGCCTAAAAAATGAAATGAAAAAAATGAATAAATAAATTCGGTGGAGGTGCGTGATGTGTCCTTTTATTACTGTACAAACGTCATAAAAAATACAACACCACACATTTCCTGATAACCGAATCCCATGTGGATACTTTATTATTAAACATAATACAGTAAGGCAGTATAAGGCATAGCCACAAGCTCCTTCTGACCGTTTCTTTTTTTATTATTATGGTCAAGGATTAATTATATATAATACACAGTAAAAATAAATTAGAAATAAAAGAAATATGTAAAATATATAAACCATTATAACGTAGTTAAAAGCTGAAAAAAAGATTAACAACATGGTATCATCGAAGTCTGCAGCTCACGAGGTGAATATAATTCCATATTTCAAGTTAATTCTGAGAAAAATAATGACTTTACTGTCGTTATTTACTGAAGCTTTAGATGATTTTGAGCACATTGCATTGTTTACAGTGTCACGCATTGATTCCTGTGGTTTGACCAATGAGGGTTTGGCTCACTATATATAAGGCCATGTAAAAACAGTAAGTTGTTGATTGTCCCCTTCCTACATAAAAACAATCACCCAACAACATATTTCCCCCAAAACTCACTAAACTATCGTCTTTTCGTCCATAATCAAACTTCGCCTATGTTTTTTTGTGTAATTATTTTGTCTTTCATTTGTTTGTTCGTAAAGGGAGTTGTTAGTGTGTATAGATTCCACCTGATCAAACATTAAACTGGGATATCCTTCAAGTTTAAATGTGACCTTGCTCTTTATGGGGGATTTGAAGACTTCGCATGTACCAAGGGGGTGGTTTCATTACAGAAAAAAAAACCAAACAAAAAAAATGTCTTGCCTACAGCCCGATCAACAACTCTTTTGTTTAACATGGTATACATGAGTATGCATTTGAACTTTAGAATGTGTTTAGCTGCCCCTCTCTTAATTCATCACTTTGTGACATCGAGGCTCAGACCTTATGACCTCTACCCCTTACAGTATATAAATAGGCCTATATAATAGTTACAGCATATTAAAAAAAAGTGTCTACTAATCTATGTAGAAACTTCCTATTTCCTAGATCTTCAACATGTCACAAATATATAATTTCCAAGAGAAATACAGTAATTATTTAGCAATATATTACTTTACTGTAATAATGAGAGTATAGTTTTACATCGCACCTACGACACATAAGATACAGATAAAATTTGTTGGTTTTTCTATTTAAACAAAAAAAGGAAAAGAAAAAATCCTCAGTTGACAATTTGCCTCAGCCTCAATTTGAAGGCGATCAGTTTTTGAATCTTAGTTTCTAGAACCATGTTTATACAAACATTTTTATTTTTTTAGATTTTTATTTTGACACCAAATATAACAATTAAGTACTGTATTAAGTTAACTGAATAACAAACATATTATCTTAAAGTAGGAAAAAGATTACTGAAAAATAATGGTAATCATCATTAAAAAAAAAATTAGAAAAAGAAATGTGAATATATCTGTAAACAACCCGTAAAGATGAACATGAATAAAAGTAATAGAGACTGCTGTATTAAGCGCCTTATAAATCCATTGATTGATTGAATAAAAGCGTTTTCAAATAATGATAACGGATGTAGTTTAATAATATAATAATAAAATTTCCCTAATGTACAACATTTACTGAGATTTTGCGGTAATCCAAGGCTTTTATATCTTGATTATCACTATTAAGCTAGTATGCTAAATCTCAAGGTCAAGAAAACATTTGTGTAAACACCAAAGATAGAATTCTTAAAATAACTTAATAGCAATTCTACATACACACAAAGAATTAAAAATGTTTTCAAGTATTGCAAAATGTATACATTATTTATATATGAAAGCGCAATAGGTTCATGTTATCTCGTGATTTAGGGCCTAGTAGTTGATTTTTTTAAGTGAGTTTCTTCGTCATTTTGAGATAAGCAGTGTTTTTCTTGTGATATCGAGATCACACCCGGAAGAGCTTTTTTTAAATGTCGGAATACAGTAACCAGGAGTTTTCATAAATTTTGAAATTTTAACTGGATGTTTAAAAACGTTGGGATCCAGGTTTGAATTTGTTTTGGTTGCGCATTTAGGTCTATGTGCAAATTTTATAGAATTTTTTGGAAAACTTTAAAATTAGATTAGGTCATGAACAATGGATTTATTCTAATAGAACTTGGGTTAATTACTAAAATATAGAATAAAAGTAAGAACTCCTACTGGTCATACTCATTCCCTTAAAGATTTATTATCCCCTGAAAATGGTATAAAATCATAAAAATATGTTGAATTTAACTTGCTCATTTATAATTAATATACATATTATTAACTTGTGCTTAATAATTATTGAGTTTAAAAATGTGTACCCTGATTTTTATACTGGACAATGATAAAAATAATAAAGCGGTTTTGCACAGCAAAAACGGTTTGGATTCACAACCTTCTAGTTCGGGATTTCAATCCTTCGCTGTGCATTTTGCTTTTGTCCTTGAGTAAAGCACTTTATCTACATTGCTTGTCTCTACCCAGGAGTATAAATGGATACTGCGCTAATATTCCAGCAACACATGCAGCATTCAGATTCAATGACCAGGAGAAAAAACTTATAGCGCTTTTTATCAGTAAAGAAATGTGCTATATAAATGACCAAAGAAGGTTAGAAAACACTTCCAGTAAATTTTTGTTTTAAAAAAATAGATTTATTCAATTCAATATATTTAGAAAAACAATTGTTCCTTTGGAAAATACCACACAGTGAACACAATGTGAAAAACTATGTGTTTACATATAGTGTACACATACTGCACCACAGTGTGTGCACTGTGTGTTCACAGTGTGTACACTGTGTGTTTACAGTGTGTACACTGTGTGAATAACTCATTGGCTATATGAAATTGGTGAGGTTTTCACACTGTGAACTGTGTGAAACACAGTTTTTACACACAGTCACCACACAATAAGCACAATGTCGCCATAGTGTAGCCACACAATTAACACACTGTCCGCACATAGTAAACACAGTGTTTGCATAGTGACACCAAACATAAACATAGCGTCACCACACAATAATCACATTGTTCCCACACAGTAAACACACTGTCCCCATAGTGTAGCCACACAATTAACACACTGTCCCCACACAGTTAACATAGTGTTTCCATAGTGTCACCACACAATAAACACAGTGTGTTTACAGTGTGTTCACTCTGTGGACTATGTGAAATTGGTGAGGTTTTCACAGTGTGAAACACAGTGAACACATTGTTGTCACAAATTGCTAACATTCAGTAAACACAGTGTTAACACACTGTTCCCATAGTGCACCACACAATAAACAAACTATCTCCATATTGTCACTAAACACAGTGTCCCTATAGAGTAAACATAGTGTCCCCCACAATAAACACAGTGTGTTTACTCTGTTGACTATGTGAAATTGGTGAGGTTTTCACAGTAAACACATTGTTGTCATATCTTGCTAACACACAGTAAACACAGTGTTAACACATAATTGACTATGTGTTATTGGTGAAGTTTACACAAAACTGTTTGTTCTACAGAGATTCAGTGTCACCACGCAGCAAAATCATCACATGTACAATCTCAAAGTTCTCAACTTCAACCTGCAAGGTAAAACAAGAATTAAATATTAACAGTTTTAAAATTGATAAAATAAACATTTATTAAACTAACTTTTAAGTACATATATAAGCGCTATCATAAGATTATTGCATAATAGTCAGACGAATTATGTATGTGTTATAACATTTTAAAGTTAAAAACATACATTAGTCAAATGTATACAGTAACTGTTTCACACTAGAAGTGTTGTTTTGCTTAAAATTAGTCAAGAATTTTAATAGTTGTTAAGTTAATGTAACAATGAGTTTACAATTTTTTAAAATTGTTTTTATTGCATATAGACGAACAGTTACTTAGATGGTAAAGCATGCTGCAGCTCATCTGTAGGATATGAAATAAATTTTTTAAAAATTAAATTACAACACTTTGCTA